CTGTTAGTACCCTGCAGTCAGCATTGGCTTCTTAAACTGACCGCGTTCAAAGTGTGCGAGTATTGTATGGCGCTCGTAACGGCAAAAGCATCAGGCTGGTTCCGAGTGAAAGACTTCAGGGCGTTGAAAATAGTAGCATTCGCGCTGACTGGGGAAAGGAAATCGCCGTTCAAAGCCTGGCCGAGGTTGGTCTGTTCATGTAGTTTGTAAGTAGCGGAGGTTATGAGACCGAAGTTCTGTCCGGCGCCTCTGATACCCCAAAACATATCGCTATTTTCGGAAAGTGATGCATTAACAACATCCCCATTTCCGGTCACAACAGTCACCGACTGGAGTGCGTCTATGATCAAACCATGAAGACCTTGGTGGACGCCGATACCGCCACCTATGGTAGCGCCAACCATTCCAACGCATGAGCAGGATCCAGTCTCTGACAGGGTGTTACTACTAAACTGAAGAAATTAGGGAAGAGCAACATACGTATCTCTTTTCCAGCCTGTTACACGGGATTTAGAACTTCTTCAAAGGTGACAGCGCCGCCAATGGTCATTATGCTTGCTGCAGAATCAATTGATACTTCCTTGAAGCCACTGAGATCTATATTGATTCCGTTCTTCAGGGCGCTAGTAGTTGTGGTATAACCATGGCCGCCACCTGTTCCCATGAATGGGATGCTGTTGCTTGAAGCGTAACGGACCTTCGAACGGGTGTTAGAACCGAAGCACTTGTAAACAGGATATTTTTTGAACTTAAGATTATCGCGACATCATTGGCAGTAGCAGGCTTTACACCCACAACAAAGGATGGCGGATCATAGGCGTTCCACCTTTGCTTGATCTCGGTTATGTAGGCCTGAGAACTGGAAAGTACAACTTCCGAGCTAGAGGATAGTTGAGTTTTGAAGTAATTTTGGATTTCTCCTGGAGTCGCTGCCCATGCCAGATTGACCGACCAGAGTAGTCCGAAAACTAAGTGTGCTGCCATGTTTGCAAATGGCGGGTGTTCACATCACTCATGAGAGGAATAACAATATATAATCCAATCGAATGGCCCGTGGTAACAGGTTCTCTATTCTAGTAATAGACTAAGTCGGTGAGGGTTAATGAGTCGGGCAAATATGGATGGGGCCCGGTTCGGTGTCAATGTGGAATTCGGCCGAAGTATTTGCACCCAACAATAATTATGCTCGATGAAGACCCATGAAATGTGCGCAAGACTACAAAATAACAAAATTCAAGATGAGAGGGTTAAAGTTCATCATTATATGCTGCCAACTGAATACATACAGAGTGCGTCATTTATGATAGTTTATTCAGACTAGAACTGATTTCTTTAGCAGAATGGAAAAACGCAGCTAGAATTCCTAAGGGACTTACGCTACCTTCATAGGATGTAGAACTGGACCTACAGTTCATGAACCGCAACGATATCGACGTCTCGATTCTATCGTTGAGCGCTCCAGGTCTTGCGTTCGCCTCATCTGCCGAGGAAGCTACAAAACTATGCCGATCGGTCAATGAGTACGCTAAGGAGATCTCGACCAATCACCCACGGCAATTTGGTTTCTTTGCATCCGTACTCCTACTTAGATCGACGCTTCTCTAGAGGAAGTATGCTACTCACTCGACGTACTGAAGGCAGACGGAGTCGCGTTGTTGTCGAGTTATGACGACAAATACTTGGGCCACGAGGGCTTTCATCCACTTTGGGAGGAACTTCACAGTCGCAACAGTAGTTTTTCATCCATCCAACCTTTGGTAAAACTTGGGGCGCCCCGCCTAACCCTACTATTCCTCGACCTATGATCGATTTTCCTCACGAGATAACCCGAACAGTAATAAGTCTTATCACGTCCAAGGTTGTTCGTGACTTTTCGAACTGTAAAATCATACTATCTCACGGTGGCGGCACGCTCCCATACGTGGCGACGAGAGATGTGCACCAAACAGCTGACCTTGGACTGAAAGATAAAACAGCCGAAGACTTTATAAGGGAAGCAAAATCATTTTACTTTAATCTTGCATTGACGGGATTTAAGGCACCTATTAAACTTTTATAAGATTTTGCTGGTACAGATCATATATTATACGGAAGCGATTTTCCGTTCGCTCGTGAAAGAACTATCAGACTTCAAATTGAAAACATCAACAACACAACTATAGGGGACGAAGCGCGGCATTCGATTGAATGCGGCGCTGTAAGGAAACTCTTTCCGCGTTTCAGGATCGATAGAAATGATGGATGATAGATTCTCTTTCGTTTATTGGCAAGGGCTGGATCTAGGTAACTTTCCTAGTATAGCATGAATAAAATTGAGGAACATGTTAAGTAGGCTACGATCGTGAAAATGACGCACTGAATACTATTGTGGAATTAATGATGCAAGATCGCTAAATAGCGGTATAACTTTAGGAATCTTATTAAGCCAAAGAAAAGGGTACTAGAAGCTTAATAAAAAAAAGGTTTCCTCGGAAGCACTTGCAAAACTTTAGCTTCATAAATTATTTATGACTTGGTAGGGTGATAGTTTACTAGCAGCGCGACACGCTGCAGGTTATAGTGCGTTTATGTCCTGCATAGAACACTTGTTGATTATATTGCTATAGAGTGAGACAGAAATATAGCGATCATCTCAACATGCAGAAATATAATTAGCGACAACTGCACTATAATAGGCGAAATTCACGGTGCGTAATTACCTAATTAGGCCGAATTAGATGTTAGATTTGTTGGATAATGGATTCATTGGCTAACTAAGATAGGGATACTGCAAACGTATATATGTGGCAGAAACTCGAGTGGCTG